GCGGATGTCTCTCTCCTCTCTTTCCCGCCAGCAGCAAATTCAAATCCGGCTGCGGCTGGCCGGCGTTTGATAGGGCGTACAAAGGTAAACCCTAAACCCTAAACCCTAAACCCTGCTGTTTTCTCGGGTCCTCGTGGTTCGAGATGAAAGTGCATCAACAGACTGCAGACGCCAGTGAACGGAACCCTGGGGATGCGCGGTTTGGGGCCTAGGGTTTTCGGGGGTTTAGGATTTAGGGTTTAGGGTTTAGGGTTTAGGGTTTGGCTGTTGCAGGCAAAGTGAAGGCCGTATTAGACCTGAGTGGAGGCATGAGGCGCTGGGAGATCATCTGCAGCACCTGCGGGGGCCACTTAGGCCACGTCTTCAATGGCGAACGGTCTGTGCAAACCCTAAACCCTAAACCCTAAACCCTAAACCCTAAACCCTAGGTCCGGCAAGTAGCTCCATGAAACAGTTGATAGCTCACTCCAATACTCTTTTCTGAGCGCGTAGTAGGGTTTGTTGAGGGTTTAGGGTTTGTTGAGGGTTTAGGGTTTGGCTTTGCAGCTTCACGGATACCAACGAGCGCCACTGCGTGAATTCGTTGTCGATAAAATATATGGAGAATGAGCCGTCTCCTCCCTTGGAAACTGAAGTGCTAAACCCAGAGAAATAAATATTAAACAAACAAACAGCCACTGCTGCAGGCGTGCAGGTGTACATACACCTCATGCTGTACCCTACACCGGGCTGAGCAGAGGCCCCCTTATGAGTATTGTTTTTTCGCGTTTTGTTTAGGTGATAGCATGTTAAGAATTTCTATGCAGTATTAAATTTGTTATGCTGCATTTTCAGCAACCCGAATGTGAGGGCTGGGGTTGTGCATCTAGGGTTTAGGGTTTAGGGTGTTTTGCGGTGGCGCTGGCAGCCAGTGTCCGCCGGGGTTCTAAACCCTAAACCCTAAACCCTAATATTTTTTCATGTGTTCTGACTTCGGTGAAGGCCTAGGGGCTACGGGCTTATAGGGTTTAGGGTTTGCCTGCATGAGCCTCCAAGCAGCTGTCCTTTCATTCGTGGCTCAGTTATACTCCGAGAGCAAATCGCTGCAGAAAACAAAAACGAGAATAAAGATAGCAACAACTACGTAAAGTGAAGAATTAGTTTGAAGCTAACTGCAGCAACAGCAGCGACTGTAAGGGGTAGAGAGGGCAGCAAGGTTTCCCCGTAGAGATAGATATACTGGTGTTGTGCTATGTTGGCTGTTGACGGCGAACAACACAGTATCAATACATCGAGCCGAGTCGACTGTGAAACAAACAAATACCAACAGAGCTCATCGTTGTACCTGCAGTGCCGCCCGTCTATACAGCATTTTCTGCTTGAAGATGAAACAGCTATTTCTACTGCTCGGCTACTGCGGGGAAACTAAAGGGTTAGCAGTTGTCTACAGTGTTAGCACAGGCATCAAGTATGTGTGCTTGCATGCGGGGTTGCCGTGAAGCACTCGTTACAGCTAGCTGTGCAGCCACTCAGAACAGGGGCCCCCACTATACTCTCCACACCAGCCTCGTGCCCCTGGGCCCTCCTACATGTGTATACCTCGTATGGTGATGAAGCAGATGGGCGCTGATAGCATCTGTAGCTCTTGCGGGGTAAACACATTGAAGACGAAAGTACACTGCATCATATTTGGTCAACCAGCAAAGCTTGAGGTCTTCATATAATAAATTGTTTTCGCTGTAAGAATATCTACGGCTATAAGATGGAGTTCCGATGGTGTGTGTTGTCGTTCTACTGTGACGAGGAATCTGACCAGTGGTCACATCAATGGTGTAAGGTTTCAGCTACGCGTGTAAACAGCAAACAGCTGTACACACAACAGTACCAACTCCATACACACACAAATACACTACACTCCTCTACTCCGTCAGCACAGGCCCTCGTCCTGCTGCGCGCAAGAAGGCTACAGGGGAGAAGCAGATTACAGCTGTTTAGGGGGAGCTGCTGCAGTGTATATAAAGTGAGCTATCGTCGTCAACTGTAAGCAGGGGTTCAACTATCTCGTTGGTGTTGACGGTACGAACAAAATGTTTACAATATATGTTTTTTTGCAGCTCCTGTTGCTTTATTTATTATATATTATTTTATTTTGTTGTGTAATTCATTATATTAATTCCTTATGTTTACAGGCCTCGGCTACGATCGAGGACCGGCGCAGCGGTGTGTACACATGC